AGTCCTCCTTCATGTTTAATGAACAATTTTAAGTCATACTATTCTTCATTAAGTAGATAAAAAATCTGCAAAACTGCTAAAATCATCTCACAACAGATACAAACTTATTGTTTTAATTAAAACAATGTTTCTCAAGAAAAAAACTGATGAGCTTGTCAGCAGGTAAGGGGCGTTTACCTTCGGGACAAATTGAGGTTGTCGATTGGTCAGTTACTGACACGCCTTCTGAGTTGATTGACAGGTCGCGCCGTCGAGGATCCGATTGAAAAAAAAAAACGAGAGCTGCAGCAGCCGCGCTGGGAGGAGGCGGGGCTGCACAAATGCAGCAGAAGCGCAGCAGTCTCTCTGTGCAGCGCAGGGCTCCAAGTAAAGCAGGAGATAACCAGATATTCTGCTTGTGCCCTCACTGCCCTGGGACCCTTAGAGATCATGGGCCCCTGGGCAGTTGCCCATATGGTTAATCCGGCCTTGGCTGGACCTGGACTTCAGAGCAGCAGAGAAGTTGCAAACAGCGCAATAGCGAGCGGGCTGTGTGTGTGTGTGTGTGTGTGTGTGTGTGTGGGTCCAGTGGAACGCGCTCACAAGAGAAGAACCTGTCAAGTTGTTTAATGACATAAAATATATTTTGTTAGCAAAGAATAGAGTCCTAACATTTGTTAAACATACGTTTATCCAACAAATAAAAAAAAAAAACTGTATTTTGACAGTCGATAAAACTAAAAAATGTTGTCAATGTGAAAGAGGAAAGAGGGGGCAGGTGTCGCTCTCGCTTTGAGTTTATACACTTTGTTGCTGCGTGCTGTGGGTGAAATGCGTCCCGAGCTGAGGATTTGTTAGCAAAGAATAGAGTCCTAACATTTAATAAACATTATAATACTTCTGTATTAAAAAACATCAAAATTGTGCTTTGACAAACCAAAAAACAAAACAAAAAAAAACGTTAAAGTGAAAGTGGGGCAGGTAACTAACGTGTGCTGCGGGTGACAAGCGTCACCAGCTGTTCAGCAGCAGAGGGAAGAGACACGGTTCAATCATGGCTCCTCAAACGACAGGACAGACATATTTGTTCATAACTTTATTATTATTAAAACTGAGAGTTGCCAGATTTTAGCAAACAGTTGCCAAATGCACCCTGACAAAATGAGAATGGTGAAAAAAAAAAAAAAGAGAGAGGAAAAAAAAACCCTCCCTGCAGCAAAATGTTCCTCGGGGTCACATGCGCCCCCCTGGCATTGCTCCGGACCCCCCCAGGGGGGCGCGCCCCACTATTTGAGAAGGACTGCCTTAAGAGTTCCACAAATCATTTTGGGATAAACTTACACCGTTATTATTAGATGTATATAATGAGGCCTTTGCCCTCGGGAGTTCTGCCCCAGACTCTGGGTCAAGCTACCATCTCTCTTCTTCTGAAAAAAGGTAAAGATCCTCTTTCCTGCTCTTCTTACCGTCCCATAAGCCTTCTAAATGTAGATTTCAAACGGCTGTCCAAGGTTCTAGTGCTACGTCTTGAAACAATTCTACCCACTATAATTCACCCAGATCAGAATGGATTTATTCCAAATAGACACTCGTCTTTTAACATTAGGCGACTTCTGAATATTATTTACAATAACAAAGTCCATGCTCAATAATCCAGGTATACAATCCAACATTTTTCAGTCAGCTCATCTGGACAGTTTCTTTTTTTTGTGCTGAAACGTTTCGCCTTCGATCCAGAAGGCTTCATCAGTCAAGGAAACACACAACAAAACTGATTCTTCTCCCAACAGCTTACTCTAAAGTGGAACAAACCAGTTCTGTTTGTGATTAGATAGTCCCTTTGGTAAGCCCCCTCCTCCATTGCCAGCCCTCTTCCTTGTTGACAGTCTTGTCAAACTGGTTGAAAACAACAAAGTCCATGCTGAATAATCCAGGTATACAATCCAACATTTTTCAGTCAGGTCATCTGGACAGTTTCTTTTTTTTTGTGCTGAAACGTCGCTGCTCAACAAGACAGGGTGGCCGTTGAGTCCCCTTTTATTTGCATTGGCCATTGAACCGCTTGACATCGCGTGTTGCTCAAACCCAGACATTGCAGGCATACAACAATATGATATAGAAGCTAAAGTCTTGCTTTACGCAGATTATTTACTCTTGTATGTTTCTGATCTCTCAACATCTATTTCGGTCATTCTACGTTTGCTCTCAGGCTTTGGTCAGTTATCAGGATATAACCTAAATTTGGGCAAAAGTGAGCTATTTCCTATCAGTCTAACAGCCAAATCCCTCCCCCTGCATGCCTTTCCCTTTAAAAGGGCCAACAATAGTTTTTCATACTTTTTTCAAATTACACATAAACTTGAAGACCTTTTTTTAAGTACAACTTTTCTCCCATTATTAAAAATTAAAGAAGACTTTGAACGCTGGTCTCTGCTTAAGCTCTCTTTGGTAGCCCGCATCAGTTGCGTTAAAATGAATGTCCTTCCACGTTTTTTATATTTATTTCAATGCATCCTGATTTTCCTTACTAACTCCTTCTTCAGACAAGTAGACACTCTTATTTCTAACTTTCTTTGGGAGGGGAAGACCCCGAGATTGGCTGAGCGATACCAACATTAGATTTTTTAAATACCGGCGCGACTGTGGGACCTCCCCTCTCCCCGACTGGTTAATTATTGACATAAATTCTGCAAAACCTGTCTCTCTCACGGCTCTGGTGTACCAATCCAATCTTCCACTGCTGCGTATACAAAAATTAAAGTTTCTCTTAAGATCTGGACTCAATTTTGGCATCATTTTGGCTTACAACTTTTGTCTCCTCATGCACCTATTGCAGCAAACCATTTTTGCTTCTTCTCTTGTGGATAAAACCTTCACAACTTGGTCTGATCTTGGCAAACGGACCTTCAAGGACTTATTCGTTGATAATGTTTTTGCCTCCTTTGCACAACTATCAGACAGATTTGCTCTTCTATCACACTATTTTTTTAGATATCTATAAAGCTGTAGTTTTGCTTGTAGTAATTTCCCCATTTTTACCCATTTGTCTGAGGTTTCTGGCATGGATTCCTTGTTTATGCCCACCCCTGGGCTGAAGGGCTGTATTTCGACTCTTTATAATTTAATTGCGTAATTCTGTCTGAACCCTTTAAACTTGATTAGGAACCTCTGGGAACAAGATATTGGGGAAAATATTTCTGATGAGCTTTGGTCACGTATTCAGATGCGGGTACATAAATCATCTATCTGTGCAAGGCACCGTCTTATCCAATGCAAACTGGTGCACCGTGTGTATTACACTAAAGCCCGTTTATCTAAGATTTATAGCATGGTCTCTCCAGCTTGAGACAGATGTCAACAATCCCCTGCAAATCTTATTTATATGTTTTGGCAGTGCCCTTGGCTTAAGACCTTTTGGACAGAAATATTTGCTGCTATATCTGAGGTGGTTGGAAGAAAAATTGACCCGAATCCCCTAAGCGCCCTGTTTGGGGTCTTTTCTGGAGGGCCCCCCTTAACCCCATCTCAGGGTAATTCTCTAGCTTTTATGACCATTATCGCTCGGAGAGTGATACTACTTAAATGGAAAGTACCTCATCCCCCCTCTTTCTTGCACTGACTCAGTGATATTCTTTACTTCCTTAAGGCTCCAGTATACTGCCGCGTATGCCCGTTCACACGTACGTATGTGACATGATACTCCAGTGTACACCCCTAGCAGCTGCAGAGCAGCTTCACAGACAAGAGGGGATTATCTTCGGGACAAATTGAGGTCGCCAATTGGTCATTTGCTGACACGCCTACTGGGTTGATTGACAGGTCAGAAAAAAGAAATAAAAACGAGTGCTGGCAGCCTCAGCCACAGCGGTGTTCTGTGTTTTTATGTTGTTAATAAAAAGATCTAAAAAAAAAAAAAAAACAGGGAGCGCTGGCTCTACAGCCCTCACATCAGACCAGCCCACCAGAAAATCTCCAGACCCTCCCGCAGCCATGCTGGACCTGAGTTTAACTCGCTCGTGACAAATTCCTCCATTTCTCACCATTTCAGTCATGGCATCAACAGAGGAGGAAGAGATCACTGCCTCTTGGCAAAAAAAACAAAAGAAAAGGCCAGATCAGGGATGAAGAAAGGGAATTTAATACATGGGTGTTGCATACAAAACAGTCCGTCGCTGGGCAGTTTATTGTGCAATACTGCGTATGCGGTCGTAAAAATTTGAGCTTTGTACTGAGGGTACGCTGGGGGGTACGCACGTACCTCTGCGTACGTACGTGCGTACCTCTGCGTATGGATGTACGCGGCAGTATACTGGGGGCTTTAAACTTGAGAAAATTAGGATGACACTACATGGCTCTGCTGAGCAATTTACACATGTTTGGCAACCATTACAACTGTTGGTTAAACGAACCAACTTTTCCTCTGTACCAGACTAGCTGACATTAGTATTATGCACTTATTTACTCTCCTTCCGGTCTTTCTGGTTTGTGGTTGGTACGTTTTTTCTTTTTCTTTATTTTTTCCTTGAAGGTTCCTTTTTTTTTTCTTGGTCCATTTTTTTTTTTTTTTAGAGTGGAGGTTGTTTGTTTGTTCTTCTTTGTATATTGGATTTAAAAAATGGAAAATTATAATAAAAGTTTGAAAAAAATTGACAATATCCTTGAGCAACTTGTCCCTCAAATTTCCTGCAGTCCATCTCCTCCTAGTCCTCAAGTCCACCTCTTTCAGCTTTCAACTTTCCACATTCCTCCTGCTGTTGATTTCTGTTGGTCTCATGGGACTTTTCTCTGGACCCTTTGCAAAAGCGCAGTAATCACATTAGAAGGAGACAAAGGTGTGGACGAGTTTCTCTGCATGCTCAGAAGGGCAAGTACCAGAGTTTAGTTATGATAAAAAATTTGAAATGTTACATAAATAACTATAATGCAAACTTCTGTTACTTTAAATCTTAGGAATAAGTTTAAAAGATGCTTAACTCCTGAAGTAAAAGGATAGAAATGTTGTTTCATAGTTTAAAAATCACCTGTGCCAGTGGTCCTTCCCGGTGTTTCAGCCTGTTGGAGACGAAGTCTATGAGCCAGTCTCCTTCTCTGAGGTTAGCACACAGAGGGTGACCCAGGTCATTTTTGGGACGGATTTCTGCCAACACCGACATCAACCCTGAAGAGAGACCATACTTATTTGGACATTTTGTTTTTAGGACATTGTGTTCAGCTGACAAACTGGAATCTGAGTAATATTTGAAACTCCATAATTGTTGAATATTAACCTTGTATCCCTGCATATTTCAGGCTTTCCCATCCAGGGATACTGTAACAACCTCCACCATCCTCTTGTTCTTCTGCTTCACAGCGAAACAGCAAGATATTCATGTCTGCCAATGTCATCTTAGACATGAGCCTGTGAAACACACAATTTTAATAACGCTTAGGTTTGCTGATCATTGTTCTGTGCTTGTTGTTGGGAAAGATTATTTAATAAATATTGTTTGTAATTGACCAAATAATTCAGAGTAAGAGGTCAAATATTACGAAAATATCTCTCCAAAAGGCTAAAGGTGCAATTCAGTCAAAATGGATTGTTCCGATAAGCATTTGTTTATGTTAAAGGTGCTGTACTGTTATGAGAATTGTGCTTATTTTCATTTAATACATTCTACATACTGCAAGTGAAAGAAACAAGGGGTATTAACAACGGTATTAAATTTGGAGGCATCGCTGGGATCGATGATTGTGAGACTGAGATATATATTTTTTTTTTTTTCCCCTTGTCCTGTCCGGCATTGTGACACTCAGAATTATTGTCCGAGTGTCAAGGTGATGCCCAACAGATTTACTTTCACAAGCAGAGCATTATGGCTGGCCTTATTGCTCCACTTGATATATAAATAAAGCTTTATTAGAATTTGCTTAGGGCTTGTTACAGATGTAATGGACATGGGGATGAAAAAGAAAAAAGAAAACAGAGCAGAAAAGTGGGAGAAGGGTTAAAAAGTAAAGAAGGAGATAGGAATAGAGGAGAGAGCGAGGTATAAAGAGAACACAAATCAACATCAATGAAGTCTGCCTCTAGACCCGCAGAAAGAAAAAAAAAAGACAAAACCGAGAAACCACAACAACAAGCAACATATATAATGATACCTATAATAACATCATTAGAAAGTATTTTATACAGTACATGGTAATACAAGATACATTTAGTGGCCACCACAACCGAATTGAAGCCCCCAGTATACTCCCGCATACGTCCATACATGGAGGTACGCACGTACGTACGCGGAGGTCCGAGCGGGCATGTCTGTGCAAAGCTCAATTTTTACGACCGCGTACGCGGTGTCGCATAATAAACTGCCCGGCGATGGACAGTTTTGTATGTGACACCAATGTATTAAATTCCCCTTCTTCATCCCTGATCTGGCCTTTTTTTTTTGTTTTTTTGCCAAGAGGCAGTGATCTCTTCCTCTTCTGTTGATGCCATGACTGAAATGGTGAGAAATGAAAGAATTTGTCATGAGCGAATTAAACTCAGGTCCAGCATAGCTGTGGGAGGGTCTGGAGATTTCCTGGTGGACTGGTGTGATGTGTGGGCTGCAGAGCCAGCGCTCCCTGGTTTTAAAAAATTGTTAGATCTTTTTTATTAACAACAAATAAACACAGAACACCGCTGCGGCTGAGGCAGCCAGTGCTCTTTTTTTTTTCTGACCTGTCAATCAATCCAGTAGGCGTGTCAGCAAATGACCAATCGGCGACCTCAATTTGTCCTGAAGGTAAACACCCCTTGTCTGTGAAGCTGCTCTGCAGCTGCTCAGGGTGTACGCTTGAGTATCAAGTATGAACCTTCTGTATACAGTACATGCGTACCTACGCATGAATGGACGTACGTGGGAGTATACTGGGGGCTTGAGTATGTATCTGATAAACACCTGAATCTAAACACCTGTGTGAGCATGCTTGTCACTATAAGGTTTCTCCAAAAAAATGTTCAATAGTGGATGTGGGGATCCACAGACCCGTCCCCACAGGACATGACAGTAATACAGGGAAGACCGGAGCCACAGACACACAGTGGTCCCCAAGCCCGAAGCTCTGGGAGTCTCCCAACAGGGACACCCGCACCCCCCAGAGAGAGAAGCAAAGGGAAGACCCCGCCAATCCCCAGCAACCACAATGCAGAAACCACAGGAGGCTGCAGCGACGAGTCCACAGGCCCCGCCGGCAACCCGCCCCTCCAGAGTAGATCCGGCCATGGACACTGAACCCCGAGTCCTGAGGTCATACCATCCCCCAACAGAGGAAGGAATTTTCCAACTTACCAGTGACCAGCTGATGGAAATATGTGATTTCCTTGCAATTTCTTTTATTATTTTTATTAACCTTTATTTAACCAGGCAAATCCCATTCAAATCACAGATCTCATTTGCAAGGGAGGCCTGGGCCTGAAGGCAGCCTAACATGCATGTTTTTCATCTGTGGGAGGAAACAGAGTACTCGGAGAAAACCCACACAAGCGCGAGAAGAACATGCAACTCGACACAGGAACCAACAACAAAAAATATCACCGGCAAAACTTGTAATGCTCCTTTTACACTAAATAGCGAGCATATTGAACGTGACAAACTAAGGGAACTTGAAGATAAAGGAATGTCAGCATTGCTGACTTTAATGGACATGATAAAAACAGTGAAGGAAGTTATCAAAAACAGTACATTGGGAGAAGAAGACGAGGAACAGGAGAAACTAAACAGAACAACTAAAACTCATAGTTCCACAGAAAGAAACTGAAATGCAAATTATTGTAAAAAAAAAAAAAAAAGCAAAGAACATTGAAACTGTACTGGTCCAGGTTGCTCCTGCCCATGTAAACTCATGGAGAAAAGACTTTAAAATCTCAGGTCAAATTGGTGATCCTGGATTAAAAAGACAGACCAACCTTTTCCAGCTTGGCCTGCCAAATAAAGGGAAGGGAAGTCTGAGATTGTCATCATTGTATGTTCCCATACAATGGCAAAATTAGTTCTCTGCATTTAATCCATCACACATAAGATGCACCCAGGTGGAGGAGTGGGCAGCTATGTAAGTACCCGGGGAGCAATTGGGGATTAGGTGTCTTGCTCAGAGACACTATGACATGTGGGAATGGCTGGGAGTCGAACCGCGACTTTCTGGTCCCCAGTCGGCTGCCCTACCTCTACCCCATCTTGGCCCCGAGAGAGAAAGAGAAGGTGAATGAACAGAGAATGACCTCAGCAAAGGTTACCCTGAATAAGAGATAGTGGATGTTGTTATTAGGGCAGTAGTACCTGGCCTAGAACTGCACAGCTACTCAGAAGGAAAGGGTGACTTGCCTCTTCCCACTCTTTGGAGAATCCTTCGTTCACAATTATCAAGAGAGAAGTGCAACAAAGTTATATAAACAGCTTAGCACAGACATGAAGAGCATCAGAGAGACACCACATACCATATTATCTGTCGTACATGGCGCACCACCCTATAAGTTGCATCAGTCCAAATAAGTCTAATAAATTGGAAAAATTCATAAATAGGTTGCTTCGCAATATATGTCGCATCTATTATGCGTCAACACTGACGCGTCATGTTTGTTACATGTCACCACTGACAATCCGGAAATGTGGGCCGAACCCAGAAATGTGGGCCAGTGTTGTGCCAAAAACTGATTGGCTGCCAAATGGCGGCCGCAGGAGCGTGTACGGGAGGACTTTAACAAGAATTTAACATGATTAACACTTAAAAACAATTGTTTGTTTGTTCAAAATTATAGCAAAGGTGTGTCTCAGTCTAACTTTTCCTTAATAAATGCACTTTGAAGGTCAAATCAGTTGTATTTTCAAAAGTAGGTGCTCCAGGAGCACGCTCAAAGGGAGGAAATCAGGAAGGAGGAATGCTACGCATTTCTTCAAAATTTAACAAGATAACCACCTGAAACAATTATTTGTTTGCTTGACATTATAGTAAAGGTGTTTCTCAGTTGAACTTTTACTTAATAAATGCACTTCAATGGTCAAATCAGCTAGTTTGACAAGACTGTCAACTAGTAAGAGGGCCGGCAATGGAGGAGGGGGCGTACCAAAGAGACCATCTTATCACAAGCAGAACTGGTTTGTTCCACTTTGGAGTAAGCTGTTGGGGGAAGAATTAGTTTTGTTGTGCATTTCCTTGACTGATGATGCCTTCCGGATCGAAGGCAAAACGTTTCAGCACAAAAAAGAAACTGTCCAGATGACCTGACTGAAAAATGTTAAATGCTGATAAAGCCAAAGGGATGTTGTTTTCAAACAGGAAGTCAGTACCAGCAGCCTTTCCTTCTATTTAATCTTCAAATGGTGTCCCTATTGAGTTTCTCGATTCTTATAAATACTTGGGTATTTTGATTCAATTCAATTCAAAAATACTTTATTAATCCCAGAGGGAAATTATTGGTTGTTGTAATTTGTTATCCTCATTTCATTCAGAGATGTTATAGATGTTGATGGCTGAAGGCAGGAAGGATCTCTTGTAAAAGTCCATCCCCCAGTGGATCCTAAGAAACTGGCTACAGATGCCGTCTGATCCGTCCACCCAGACTCGGCTGACCTCTCGGTTCCCCTCGGGCTGTAGGACTGCCTGAATGCTGTGTAGAACTCCTCCCAGAGCGATGGCCACTCCTCCCAGCAGACTGCCGAGCTCCTCGTCGCTGCAGACAGCCAACTGTAGGTGCCGAGGGACCAGCCTGTCCTTGCACTGTCATGAGCCGTGTTTCCTGCTAGTTCCAGGATCTCAGTGGTCGGGCACTCGAGCACAGCTGGCAGGTAGATGAGAATGTAACCACAGAATATCCTTTTCAGCTCACTTGAGATTTGGGGCTGTAGTTGAGATATTATTTGAGCTTTTGAGATGTTCTAAAAAAGTTGAATCTGGTCCTCTGGACATTCAAAAAAAACAAACAAAGCAAAACAACAAAGAAAATGTAGAAACGTTTCGTCTCTCATCCGAGAGACTTCCTCAGTCTGAGGTGCTGTATTCAGCTCAGTCTCTTAAATAGCACCTTCTCAGAGTGGATCAACCAGTTTTGCTGCTGACAATCAAAACCAGCTGATCACATGCTCAAGAAGGACCATCAGTCTAACGATGGATCATTAGCACACTGATGGCTGTTTACTATTCACAGAGGGCTGAGTGATACTAGCAATCACAGCATTGTAAGAGGGGGACAATTGAACACGTAGGCCTCCACCCCTGTTTAACGATGGACGATTTATTTTCACAAAGATGGCCTCCTTTACTCCTCTCTCAAACCATCGTTCCTCTCTATCCAAGATGTGCACATCTTCATCCCTGAAAGAGTGACCGCTGGCCTGGAGATGAGTGTAGACCACAGAGTCCTGGCCTGATGATGTTGATCTT